AATTGATCAAATTTTCATGAGGGCAGGTCTAGCGGTTTCGGAGATCTAACGAAAAAAGTAAAAAAAAAAATGCCATTTGGCCGCCAAAAATGATCATCAGACATATACACATCAAATTATCAGATATTTTATAGAGATTTTAACAAGAAGTATAAATTTTGTTTACATTCCTATGGGTTCTGTGCCCACAAAATTTGTCGCAACCGTACCCAAAGCACACTTTTGGAGACAAATCATCGTTATGATCGAGCTAAATTAGCTATGCAAAAACTAATTGCTGCTAAATAATTATTAATGTGCAACTTACAGCAAAATAACAAATAAAGTGAATCTATCTGTATTCAATTAACAGCCATTATTAAAATAATTCGAACATGAAAACTTACTTTTGAAAAAAAAAAAACATTTGACTTTTTAAAAGCAATGCGGTCCACATATTATTTCCATAAGGCATTGACTGAAAGCAATAATAGGAACTCCTTTGAACAAACCTATTTCATCTTCCTCTTTTTGGACCCTATCTCAAAATAGGTCAGCTGGTATGACGACTGTTACTACGATACCCTCGAACAATCGTACCTAGTCCTTCTCTATATAGTTACGTTTATAAGAAATGACACCGCCATATATTTATAAAAAAAAAATAGCTACAATATTTACTTTTAGAAATTTGGAAATCAAAGACGTATTTTTTTTACAATTACTTTTATTCTAAATTAGATGTAACGTATTATAAATATGTAAATATTTAAATGTTTAACATTTATTTATTGGGAAGTGTGGAAAGGGAAATACATAAGTGTATTAAGGTAATGAAATGTTAACGGAAATAATACACAAGGGAAGGAGAGGGAATCATTGATTTGTGTTGCCTTACACTATGGACTTGCCTTTAGGCAGATTACTATTTATTGCTACTATTATAACCCCATAAGTATAAATTCTAAATAATTAACAAATTATCGTTAAAAATATCACATTAATCACAAAATGTTTCATTTTTACCCTTAACCATAGTTACATATCACAATTTTTATTTCGTTTATCATTTTTTATAGGTCCAAAGGGTTAACATGCATACCATACAAAATTATGTGGTGAATAAATTGATTATTTTTATATCTATTGCTAATTTTAAATTATAAGCCTTTAAATTATACACATTTTGTGTATATGGGATAATAGCATCTAACTAGTAATTGAAGTCGGGATATTGACTGTTACGGCTGTGATGTTAAACTCGAATTTTCACAAGTTTTTCGTTCTTACTGTTAACTGTGGTTCTAAATGCGATTTTTTACATTGACGTTTCTTGCTGGATTGCATATTGACTTCATAACAATAATTCTGAAAACATAAGATTTCTATATATTTATATGTAATACGTAAGAGCATAATTAAAACATGCATGCTTAAAACAACTTACGTGGTGAGGATCAGTATTAAATTTTATATTGGGATCAGCATGCTTATAACGTCCTGAAATATAATTTATAGCAATAATTACCTAATATTTTACATGAAGTTTACACTATAGAACTAATTTCATTTTAAAAGTAATACTTAGTTGATTTATGATAATCAATGTTGTTTTTGGTGCATACATAGATATAATATAATGTCATTATCCAAGTCTTCTGGAGTTTTCGTATTTTTTACCCGAGAAATCGAAAACGTTTCAGAGGTTTCTGAACATTTTGGATACCTTAGAATATGCGGATGTGTGTGTAAGTGTGCGAGTGCGACAATTTTTCATCGACGATTTCGAGAATACGGATCAACCGATTTGAGTCATTCAAAAAATATTCAATTGCTATTCATAAGGTGCTGATTAGTTTTTGGCAAAGGCAGGTCTAGCCGTTCCAAAGATACAAGGCAAAAAGTGCCAAAAATGATAATTCAATTTTTGAGAAAACGAAGCGTCCGAATTGAATATTTCAAAAAAACATTTTATTTGTATTGACGAAATAAAAATCTGATGTAATTTTTGGGAAGGCAGGTCTAGCGGTTTCGCAAACTCAAAAAATAAGTAAAAAAAACCTATTTGGCGGACAAAAATAATTATTAGACATATGCACATTGAATTATCAGATATTTTAATAATTACATATTTTGTTTACATTTTCATTGGTTCCGTACCAATGTTTATCCCGTATACTGTGGAGCGACGCCCACGCGCTTCGATATTTTGTTTTTACACAGCTAACGTATCGCGATTGCTTGCTGAAAAAAGGTCGTTTCTAAAATATTTGAAATAAAATAGATTTTGAGAATTTTAAAATTTTTGAAAAAAATTAACTTTTTTGAAAAATTTGAATTTTTTTATAAGGATAATTTTTTTCAAAAATTTTAAAATTCTTAAAAATCTATTTTGTTTCAAAGTTCTAAATAAATTGAATCTTTTTTAAAAATTATAACTTTTATCACCAGAAGTTTTAGCAATTTGCATTAAGGCACGATGCCATGCACCACTAGTTTGAATTTGATATAGATTCCAAATTAACAAAAAAAAATCCAAAAATCTAACGTTTTTTCTAGGTACTACAAATACATGTGATATAGCTTGGGAGAGGAGGGTAATTTTATATTTCATTAAGTATCACTAAGCGGGGGGAAGGGTCTAAAATCCTCAAAATCAATCACGTGATTAATGGACGCCTCCTACTAAGGAGGCTAAACAATTTTTTTACATTTCTATGGGGTCCGTACTAAGATTTAAATGTTCACCGTTAAACTGAAAAGGAGCGCTTTGATATTTCTGTCTACGAAAAAATTAAAAAAAAAAAAACATCAAATGCTCTCAAGTAATATTTTAGAAAATTCAAAATTAAAAAAAAAAAAAATTCTCAACAAAGTTAACTATATATCAAAATTTCAAATTTTAAACAAATTTGAAGCTGGTAAAAAATTTTAATCACGGTACGAGAAGTTCCAGCAATTTGGCTTGGAGCACGATGCCACACACCACTAGTAAGTAAACTAATTGTGATAGTTGTGATTTAATATTTATAGATATTCATAACTTACCATGTCATTTTCTGAACGTATTTTTGGAAGGAGGAGGGCTCTTTATTGCTGCGTCCATTATTTCGCGTTCTCTTTTTTCCTACAATTTAAATTTCAATCCGGTTATTTCAGATATTGACGGGCGTAATGTTTCTAAATGAAATTACTAAATGAACTTACTCTCCTCATCAGTCTTTTCAATTCAGCATAATGTGTGAACTTCTTCACATCTTCCTTCACGATTTTCAATAAAGCCTCAAGTCGTCGTTCACTCACCTAATAAAATTATGATATTTTGTACTTTATTGATAATTGCCAATTAACACTAATCATTCCAATGGGTTAGGTCAAATGACTCGTTTTAAACTTGAATTTAAAAAACGTATATAATTTTGTTTTTGCTAATTTGACTGTAGCACAGGGTTATTTATTTTGCTTTTAATGTATACTGTTATCTATCACATGCATTTTCATTGATAATTGATGATTGTATCATGGAATATGTAAGATCATGCGCAATAGAAAGTGATCCAAAGAGAGTGTTAAGATACAATTGTGAGAAAAATAAATGTATTTATTAACATTTTTATTATCTTGCATAAAATTATAGTCGCGGGATTTATTTTATTTATAAAACTATGATTAGAAACAATATCAACGATACTCTTAGTTCATTTGATAGTCAGCAGAACCACCTTTGAAAACAGATTAATTTGCTATAATTTTGAAAGTTTCTTCAAAAATTTTTGAGAAATCCGCGAACAACCAAAAAAAGAACAAAATACGAAAAAATTATGGTCAAGTCAAATATAGATGTTTGTCTCTATAGGAGGTGTCAAATTGGAATCTGCGGAGAAAATAAAACGATCAAAATTTGCTCTAAATTGTCTAAATGCCAATATTTTCTGATTGTTTTAAATCTAATTTCCATATTTTATACACTCAAGCAGGGTCGGGTAATTTTACCCGCTATGGTAGAAATGGGTACTCGAAAAGTATCAATATGATTAGTGTTAATTAATATTTTTTCAAAACAATTATTATTACAATTATATCTTATGATAATATACTGACCCTGACTCGTATGTTTGACGCACTACAACCATCGTCTACATATGACTCGAATTTTATCTTGGTCCTTCCCGAGTTTCCAAAGAGCCAATCTTCTCTATGTACTTCTTCCTGTAAAATCGTTTATTTGTGTAACTATTGATGACATAATATTAATATATAAATACAAATTTACTTCGTCTTTAAACATCGCGTCTTCAGAATCAATATCAGTCCAATCATCTTCATCTGTATCTTCTGAATCCTGCAAAAATGGAAAATAAGAAAATTAATCAAGGAAAGCCTTTTTGTCATGTATATGGATGCAAAATGTACTTACTTCATCGATATGATAATCGTCCGTGGCCCACTTAATATTTTTTGGTGCAGATTCCTTCATCTTTTTTAATTAAAATCAATTAGAAATAATATGTAAAACTGCATATACACAATGTAATGTTATATGATATACCTTAGTGCAGAAAAACTTCTCGTCCATTAAGAACATCATCATTCCTGGTGCGCAATCTGTTTTGGATGTTCTACTTCTCTTGCACGCTGTTTGTAATTTAAGTAACAAAAAATTATTTGAATTGAAACATATTTTCACTTTGTTTAAACAGATTTTATAATGATATATATAAAAAAAATATTGGTATTCAATTATTTTTAACACGTACCTCATATTTGCAGTAGCATAATCTTGGTCAATCAGGCATTTTGTGTTTTGAGGTAGATGGAGATGGTTCTTGCTAGTACTTGGTAAATTTTGAAATTGATCATCATTTACAGGCTCCTAAAAATAATTGTACGAACAAATTGAATATTTAAGTTTAGTGTAAATTATAATGATATCTTAAAATAAAATATTGGTATCTCAATTATTTTAATCACTTGAATTATAAATGTATTAACAATATAAAATATTACTTGATTTCGTGTTTTCACACGTTCTTGGTCAATCTCAGGCATTTTGTATTTGAGGTAGATGGAGATGGTTCTTTGCTAGTACTTGGTAAATTTTGAAATTGATCATCATTTACAGGCTCCTAAAAATAATTGTACGAACAAATTGAAATATTTAAGTTTAGTGTAAATTATAATGATATCTTAAAATAAAATATTGGTATCTCAATTATTTTTATCACTTGAATTATAAATGTATTATGATATAAAATATTACTGATTTCGTTTTCGCACGGTTGCCAATCTCAGGCATTTTGTATTTTGAGGTAGATGGAGTTGGTTTTTTGCTAGTACTTGGTAAATTTTGAGATTGATCATATTTACAGGCTCCTAAAAATAATTGTATGAACAAATTGATACGTTTAGTGTAAATATAATGAATTTAAAATAATTTATTGGTATCTCAATTATTTATACGTGATGATGTATAGTAGAGCATGATAACATTCTTGGTGATCATATTGCGAATATCTGAAAATATCAAGTGTATAAAACAATGATACATTTAATTATAAATGCATTAAGAATTTAAAATATTACTTGATTTCGTTTTTCACACATTCCTTGGTCAATCTCAGGCATTTTGTGTTTTGAGGTACATGGAGATGGTTCTTTGCTAGTACTTGGTAAATTTTGAGAATGATCATCACTTACAGGCTCCTAAAAATAATTGTACAAATTGAAATATTTAAGTTTAGTGTAAATTATAATGATATCTTAAAATAAATATTGGTATCTCAATTATTTTTATCACTTAATTTATAAATGCGTTATGAATATAAAATATTACTTTATTTCGTTTTTGGCACGTTTCTTGGCCAATCTCAGGCATTTCGTGTTTTGAGGTACATGGAGATGGCTCTTTGCTAGTACTTGGTAAATTTTGAGATTGATCATCATTTACAGGCTCCTAAAAATATTGCACAAATAAATTGAAATATTTAAGTTTAGTGTGAATTATAACGGATATATATAAAAATAAATTATTGGTATTTTAATTATTTGTATCACATACCGTAGATGATGACATTGTTGCAGCCTGATCGGCATTCTTTGGTTGATCATCACATTCAAATATCTGAATAAATCGAATGAATAAAATAGTGATACCTTAATAATAAATGTATTAAAAAAATATAAAATATTACTTGATCTAGTTTTTCGCACGTTTCTTGGTTAATCTCAGGCATTTCGTGTATTGAGGTACATGGAGATGGTTCATTGTTAGTAATATGAGAATTTTGAGATTCATCATCATTTACAGACTCCTGAAAATATTGTACAAATTGAAAGATTTGAGTTTAGTGTCATTTTTATTGTTATTATATTAAAAAAATTATTGGTATCTCAATTATTTGTATCACATACCGTAGATGATGACATTGTCGCAGCCTGATCAACATTCTTTGGTTGATCATCACTTGCTAATATCTGAAAATATCAAATATCATGTATCAAAAATAATGATACATTTAATCATAAATATATTAAAAATATAAAGTCTTACTTGATCTCGTTTTTCGCACGTTCCTTGGTTAATCTCAGGCATTTCGTGTATTGAGGTACATGGAGATGGTTCATTGTTAGTAATATGAGAACTTTGAGATTCATCATCATTTACAGACTCCTGAAAATATTGTACAAACAAATTGAAAGATTTAAGTGTAGTGTCAATTTTAATGATAATTTATTAAAATAAAATATTGGAATCTCAATTTTTTTTCACGTACCGTAGATGACATTGTCGCAGCCTGATCGGCATTCTTTGGTTGATCATCACATTCAAATATCTGAATAAATCGAGTGAATAAAATAATGATACTTTAATTATAAATGTATAAGAATATAAAACATACTTGATCTCGTTTTTCGCACGTTCCTTGGTCAATCTCAGGCATTTCGTGTTTTGAGGTACATGGAGATGGTTCTTCGCTAGTACTTGGTAAATTTTGAGATTCATCATCATATAAAGGCCCCTAAAATATAGATCAAATAAATTTAAATATTTGAGTTTTGTGAATTATAATGGATATTATTTGTATCACATACGTCGTAGATGATGAGATTGTCGCAACCTGATCGGCATTCTTTGGTTGATCATCACATTCAAATATCTAAATAAATCGAATGAATAAAATAATGATACTTTAATTATAAATGTATTAAGAATAAAAATATTACTTGATCTGGTTTTCGCACGTTCCTTCGTCAATCTCAGGCATTTCTTGCGTTGAGGTACATGGAGATGGTTCATTGTTAGTAATATGTGAATTTTGAGATTCTTCATCAGTTACAGACTCCTAAAAATATTGTACAAACAAATTGAAACACTTAAGTTTAGTGTAAATTTAAATATAAATATTACCTCATCTTTTCTGTCTACTATGTTCTAACGATGGTATCTCCATCTCCGTATCGGGCTGTATCATATCGGAGTTAACGAACATATCAGGATTTTCAGATTGCTGGATGCATGACATAAATAAATGTAATAATATTATTAAAACGTTAAAATAAAATGAGTAAGTATGAATACTACTTCATCTGTTCTGTCACTTACGGATGTTCTATCACATACACTATATCAAAATGATAGAGATTCAGGCTCCATTATATCGGAATTTATGGGCAGATCACCATTAAGGGGCTGAATGTATAAGATAATTAAATAGTAAAATATTAAAATAAAAATCATTCGTATTTTTTTTTTTTGTTACGTACTTGCATCATGGCATCTGATTTTTCCAAAGAATCCTCTTCAACATTAGAATCAATTTCGATCTAAATATGAAATATAATATGTATGAGCACTATTATATAGTCAATATTATATTTGCAAGCACATATAAAGTTTTTTTAAATATAGTGTTTTATAGTATATAAATGTACATAAAATATTAAAATAAAATCATTAGTATTTTTTTTGTTACGTACTTCTATTTCAGCATCTGAATTAGCTAATGAATCGTCTTAGATATCAACTACGACCTAAATATGAAATATAATATATATGAGCCCTTATAGTCGATATTATATTTGCAAACACTTATAAAGCTTTTTAAATATAGTGATTATGCGATAAATTGGTACATGAATGTAAATAAAGTATTAAAATTAAAATCATTTGAGTTTTTTTTGTTACGTACCAGAATTTCGTCAAATGAATTAGCTAATGAATCCTCTTCATTGTCATGTTCAATTCTTGAATGTTGACATCTGAATTTGCTAATGAATCCTCTTCAATATCAGAATCGATCACGACCTAAATATGAAATATAATATATATGAGCACTATATAGTCGATATTATATTCGCAAACACTTATAAAGCTTTTTCAAACATTGTGTGTTATGCGATGCATTGGTACAAAAAAAGTACATAAAGCATTAAAATAAGTCATTCGATTTTTTTTTGTTACGTACTAATATCTCGTCGTATGAATTTGTCAATGAATCCTCTTCATTGTCATGTTCAATTTCTTGAATGTCGACATCTGAATTTGCTAATGAATCCTCTTCAACATCGGAATCAATTTTGTTCTAAATATGAAAAATAATATGTAGGAGGCAAATATATTTACAAACACTTATAAAGCTTGTTTAAACATAGTATTTATGCGATACATAAAATATTAAAGTAAAATCGTATTTTTGTTACGTACTTGCTCCTTAGCATCTGAATTGTAATGAATCCTCTTCAATACCTGTTCATTTTGACCTAAATATGAAAAATAGAGCACTTTTAATCGATATCATGTTTGCAAATACTTTTAAAGCTTTTTTAGACAAAGTGTTTATGCTATGCATTGGTAATATGATAAAGATATTACGTACTTGCACATCGGCATCTGAATTAGTTATTGAATCGTCTTCAACTTCAGCATCAATTTCGCTCTAAATATGAAAGATAATATATATGAGCACGATTGGTACATAAAATATTTAAATTAAACTTATATTTTTTTGTTACGTACTTGTGCCGTGGCATCTGAATTAACTGATGAATTATCTTCAATATCAGGTTCAATTTCTTTTTTTTCGTCATCTGAATTACTAAATGAATC